TTGGACTGTGGTTTGAGGAAGGATTTTAAACTCTCTGGTAGATGGGCTCCAAAGGGAAACATTTTGTCCAATATATGGCTCTGCTAAACATAATATTCCATTACAAAGACCAACAATTTCAGGTCCATACACAAAATTCTCGAAAAAGGGCAAGTGAATATTGTGTTTTACTATAAAGTTTTGACCTTTCTTGGTCGAAAGTTTAGAGAAATAATGGATTTCATCACGGGTGTCACTGTGACAACGTTTGAGGAGAAGATTAAGGTTTTTTTAAGGCTGATGATATTTGGTAATGAAATGATGGGTTTCAAAAGATGAAGACCAGGGCTTGCAACGCACCTGAAATTGGTCAAGGATTTAACAGGAAGCTTTGAAAGAATCTCTAACACCAACATCTCTGGTAATTCAGTTCTATTTTTTTTATCAACCCTTGCATCTTCTTCTTTCCTCCTCATTATCTTCTCTACCTCCTCTAGTATCAATTTGACGCAACAATCGACTTATTCCTTTGAAACCCCTGGTTTGTGAACCATTTGAAAGAACTGTACACTTTTTTCTGAATTTCTTCCTTCAACGCCAATGGTTTGTGATTAGACAGGCTTCTAGGCAACGTGGTCTGCAATAGTTGGGGAAACTTATTTAAAACTTATGTGGATACAAGAATTCTATCCAATCAGCTTGTATTAGCAACACCTCTTCCTCTAAACCATGTGAACCGGCTACCAATTAGTGGCAGATTAACTAGATTGTTGTTCGAAGTAAACTCCCCAAAACTTCTCATTACATTATTGTGGAAGCTTACCCCAATCCTTTTCGAATCTGATTTAACTGTGTTGAAATTCCCTCTGACAATAACGGGGCCAGTAATATAAGAAATTAACTCAGCAAGGTTCAAAAATAAAGACATCCTCTCCCCTGGATCGTTCGGCGCATATACTTTCACCACACCAAACTTCTAAATTAACATGAGGAAATAAATCCACTATAACCACCGTTCTGTTCTGCACAATTTAGCAATAAAAAAGTTTGTATCCCATAATGAGATTAGCCCCCTGAAGCCCCGATGGATGGTGCGAAGGCTAACTCTCCAAAATATCTTCCCATCAAACATTTTGTTGTCCAAGGATTAATGGCCGACAATTTCGTTTCTTGCAATGAGGTTGATTTGATTAGAAAAAAACTCGACTCTAATTGATTTCGAGTTGTAGTTTCATAATCTAGACTCAAAAAAATCTCAAGTTCAAATCGAATTGTAAAATACAACTTAAATAACTCAAAATTTTTAGTAACTAGTATATTAATTTTCAAGTTTGAGTCGAAGTATGAGTCGATTCCCTCGACTTTGTTCGGTATATGTAAATTACATATGAAAAAAATACGAAAAGCATATATGTATTATATATAGTTATAAAATAGCATTTAAATTAGAATAAAGTAATGGCATGATATTGTAAATATTTACAATTAAATTTAAATAAAAACTTGAAAATTATACTCTACTAGACTCGACTCGAAAAAATTTCAAGTCTACTCCGACTTATAAAATATGACTCGTCAACTCGAAATTTTTTTAGTCTACCCGATCGAACGTTCATCCCTACTTGTAAGACGTTGAAATTATACGAGTTATAGCCCTTACTTTTTCATTTTTACCCATCCCTCACCTCGACAATTGAGGGCATAATATTAACCTAAGAAATACCGCCAAACAACATATTATCCCCAAAATTATGAGAAATAATAGCCCTGGAGATGTTTGACTATAACCACTAGTAGGATAAAACACATAAGCTGAGAAAACATTGAGATTCAAGCAATGGAATCATGACAGCTATACGTTTGATCTTAACAAAAAGTTATTTTCATTAGGTGATTTCAGTCTCAACTAGTTTGTTTATTTATCATCTGATTCTGAGGAGTTGGATTACGTCAATTATTTTCAAGTTTCGGTCGGAAAGAAAAATCATCGAAAGAAGTTGTAAAAGAAATTTGCAAGAAGTTGTGGAAAGAAAATTTTAAACAACTATAAAACACTTTGACGCAACAATCAACTTATTTTAGGTGCCTAAACGTAAAGGAAAAAATATCTATGGAGGCACCATCATATTATTAAAAGAGTGAAATGATAAATAATTAAAAAACCTAACCATTAAGTTTATTTTATTTATAAATTTTTATTGTTAGTATTTTTTCAATATTTTCATTTAAAAAAATTAAAGTGAACACAACATTCCAATAGGACGAGTTCCTTGACCATTTAATTTTTATTATTTTTTTGCAGTCATGTGATGAATGATACAAGGCCTTGTCCCACAATATCTCATTTCAGCAAAACCATTAAACCCATGTGATGATGAGCACCAATCTGCCTAGGCTACTCATAAATGTACGTATCTCGTGTTCGTGCATTTTAGGATATACGTACAAGCATATGATCCTCTAAGGACCCTCACACTACATTAAAAAACTATCAGAATACCAATTTTTGACATGTTTGACAGTCGCATACGAGCACCAACAACCTAAAACAAGACCTCTGCAAGATTGCAATCCATTTATCTCTAAAATAAATAACTGAGCTCTAGAATGAAAATCATCTCACACAAAAAGGTCGGAATTCTGACTCTTAAATTGGAAACGCAAACATGTAAAACCAAGTAAACTCTCTATATGCACACACAAAAGCTCATGTGAATTATTATATATATGCAGAAAAAAGATAACAATTTCCAGAAATATTCCACAAAGGAAACAAAACCAAACCATTGACGCTGTTTCATTGGATCTAAAGTATGGACAATAACACATGATCATAACAATACCAACAATAACAGTGTTCCTAGATTCAACTTCAAATGACATTCAACTATTAGGGACATTGACTTCTATGAAGCAAAGTCAAGTAGGAAAAGCACTCCGAGTCTTGCATTTATACGCACCTGCAAATCATAATACACAAGTCAATAGAATTGCAAATAAGAGTTAACAACTAAGCAAATCTAAAGGGATAAATTTTGCGCATCCACTGAAACAAAAAAAAAACAGAAACCTAAACAAGTTAACATTATTTGAGAACATCACAAGACAATATAATTCAGATAAAGTCCATATCAAGAGACCAAATCCATTAAATCTTTCCCTTTTTTTAGCTCCCCATCCATTGTAGTGTTCAAAATCAATTTGATGCACCTCCGGCTGGCTGATATATTATACATTCCTCATGCTTTTGTCTTCCATTTATCAGAACCAAGCTCTCAACATAAGTAATAATCTGCGTTGTTTCCCGATAAGCATGTATACCGAGATTTTTAAGCTCTTGTGTGGAGGGGTCAAACAAGACTAATTCATGATCAGAGCTCTCAAGAAACAATTTATTGTTTTTCCAAAACCCCAAAGGCCTATGAACTCTAGGAACAGATTCAACACTGAATTGTTTAGTCCATGATCCATTCATAACCCATAAATCAAAAGACTTATCAGTTCCTTCTCTTGGATAAAAAATAGCACCAAGCAATCCATTGAAGTCCAAAAGATGCAAATAGTATGTGCTAAAGTCTCACTAAATTCAGGCAGTGGTAAAGTTGAAAACTTTTCATTAACCATATCAAAGGAAAGAATAAGGTCATCACTCATCATAATCCCCAACTGCCTCCCTATAACTCAACTTGAATCACTTTTAAGGGAATATAACTCGACTTGGTTGTTCCAATCTTCCATTAACCTTTCAATTAGATTCTCTTCAAAGTAATTAGTGACAAATCTTACAACTTTGAAGTCATCAGTTTGAGAATCATACCCAATACCAAGGAAGGCAAATCTAGTGGAATCTACTGCAGGAGGTTCTACAAGTGCTCTTTCAATCCTTATATTTTTCTTCGAGACAATAGTTTTCAACTTTGTTTTATGTTTTCTCATTAAAGATTCATCAAGAAGTATAAATTAACGCACTTGCAATGAGATTCTAAGTAACATAATTATCAGATTTGAATATTTTTAGAGAAATACAGGTCTAAGTAACATGCCAAACCTTCTTTTATTCTGCATTCATGTGATGTATGATACAAGGCGTATCTCGTTTCAGCAAAACTATCAAACCAATGAAAACCAATCTGTCCAAAATCTCAATAGGTATCTTGTAAGGGCTTTTCGATTTTGCAGGTATCCCATATCATGCGTTCGTATATTTCGGGATATAGATACGAGAATATGATCCTCTAAGGACCCTCCAACGACATGAAAAAACTATAAAAATACTCATATTCGACACTCACATCCAAGCACAAACAACCTAAAACAAGACCTCAACAAGACTGCAATCCATTTACCTCTAAAACAAAAAACTGAGGTCAAGAATGAAAATCATCACACAAAAAGGTCTGGAAAAACAAACATGCAAAAACCAAGCTAACTCTTTATAAGCACACACAGAAGCTCATATGAATTATCATATATATGCAGAAAAAAGACAACAATTTCCAGAAATATTCCACAAAGGAAACACTTTCAAGAAAGTAGTGCTAACCCATTTACTCCTGCAAATACCCTTAACAATGGCTTCACACAAAACAAGACCAAACCATTGACACTATTTCATTGTATCTAAAGTACAAATAATAATATAATAACAATAGTTCCTATGTTCAACTTCAAATTCCATTTAACTATTGGGGACATTGAGCTGTCAGAAGCAAATTCAAGTACGAAAAGCACTCCGTGTGTGGCATAAATATGCAGCTACAGTCATGATATGCAGGTCAATAGAACTATAGATCAGAGTTAACAACTAAGAAAATCTTTAGGATGTAATTTTGTGGATCCAATAAAACAACCAAAAGCAAACAGAAACCTAAACAAGTCAATATCTAGGGCATGTATATACAATTCAAACAATAACAACAATATTTGAGAACATCACTAGACAATATAGTTGACATAAAGTGCAAATGAAGAGATCAAATCCCATTAAATCTTACCTCTTTTGTTGTAGATCTCCATCTGTCTTAGTGTTCAACATCAATTTGATTCTCCTCTGCTGGTCGTCGTATTATACATTCCTCATGCTCTGATCTTCCATTCAATGGAACCAAGCTCTCAACATAAGCAGTAATGCGCATTGTTTCCTGATAAGCGTGAATACCAAGATTTATCAACTCTTGTATGGAGGGATCAAATAAAACTAGTTCTTGATCCGAGCTCTCGAGAAATAACTCGCCATTTTTCCAAAACCCCAAAGGTCTCTCAACTCCAAGAATAGATTCAACACTGAATTGTTTAGTCCATGACCCATTCACAACCCATAAATCAAAACACTTGTCAGTTCCTTCCCTTGGGTAAAAAATAGCACCAAGCAATCCATTAAATTCTAAAAGTTCCAAATAATATTGTTCTAAACTCCCACCAAATTCAGGCAGTGGTGAAGTTGAAAACTTTTCATTAACCATATCAAAAGAAAGAATAAGGTGATCAATTCCAACTGCCTGACAATAAATAAACCCATTGACATAATTATTAAACAAAGCAAAAGCAAAAGCATCAACACCAGGAAATGAAATTTCCTTCCATGAATCGCTTTTAAGCGAATATAACTCAACTTGATCGATCGAATGACTATAAATGCTCAAACCTTCTTCATTTTCCCATGAAAAATAATTAACAACAAATATTACAACTTTGAAGTCATCAGTTTGAGAATCATACCCAAAACCAAGGCAATCACAACTAGTGTATTCTAGTCCAGGAGGGCGCTGGACTGTGGATTGAGGAAGGATTTTAAACTCTCTGGTAGATGGGTTCCAAAGGGCAACATTATGTCCAACTACTGGCTCTGCTAAACACAATATTCCATTACAAGGGCCATGAATTAAAGGTGCATGCACAAAATTCTTGAAAAAGGGTAAGTGAATATTTTGTTTTATTCTAAAATTTTTGTCTTTCTCGGTCGAAAGTTGAGAGAAATAATGGATGTCATCACGGGTGTTACCATGACAACGTTTGAGGAGGAGATTAAGGTTATTGTTTTCGAGATTGTTTTGATGATGTTTGGTAATGAAATGACGGGTTTCAAAAGATAAAGACCAGGGCTTACAAACGCACCTAAAACGAGTTAAGGATTTAACAGGAAGCTTTGACAAAATCTCCAATACCAACATCTCTGGTAATTCGGTACTAGTTTTGATCAACCCTTGCATCTTCCCTCTTTAACTTCTCTATTTCCTTTGTGTTTTTTAATAGATGATTTTGTTTGGGGAAAGACGATGAGAACTAATATGAAAGAATGCGAAGACAGACATAACAAATCACATCAATCTTCTGTAACAAGAAATCTACAATGGAAACTGATCATTTGTTACACTATTTTGATAGGCCTGGTCCAGCCATTTTAAAACCCATTAGCTTATCATAGACAAGGTTTGCACAATATTGACTATATACAATATATTAGTATTTTAAAATAATTAAAATAATATATTTAATAATAATATATCTATAATCATTTATTATATTTTAAATGATTAATATAATTTATTCTATAATCATTTGTTACTTTTTTACTATTAAAGAATATATTTTAACATTATAAAAATAAAAAACCTCTAAAACTTTAAATATATTATAAATATAAATGAGTAAATTAACACTTTATATAAGATCGGGTTGGATCAATTATTTTTTTACCTGAAATATAGTCTCACCTCAACTTGAAATTATCTATTATATAACTCGTCATGCCCTGAACTCGAAATTAAACAAAAAAAACTATTTTTTGTAACAAGAAAATTATCATAGGTGTGGGCCTGGCCGAGCCTTTGGTAACTTCAAAAATCCATGAGCATAACATAGGTAGGGTTGGCAATATATCATTTTGTAAGCTATTGAAATATCAAATAATATTATGCATTTTATTAAGGGTAAATTATACTAGTTATATCTTATGTTTTTGATTCGTTTAGTTTTTTCACCGGTTTAAAAAGTTTTTGGTTTTTGTCACTTTTATCTTTGGTCCTTATTGTTAATAAAAATGGTTAAATTTTAAGTTGACCTCTGAATTTAGACAAAATATTAATTTGACCTTAAAATTTACATAAAATAATAATCTAACTCTTAAACTTTATATAAATATGAATGACCCCTAATTTCAGTTAAAGTTAACGTCTCTACTCACAACTCATCGTCATTGTCGCCCACAATCAGTTTTCATCACCAGTCATCGTCGTTGGTTGTCATGTCAACATGCGATGCCATGTAAGCTTGATACTTCATCTTCATACGTTGATTGTTTGTTGACTAACGGTTTTCATCCACATAGGAATTCTTTTTTTCCCAAATGAAATGTTGGAGGTTAAAGTGCTTGGCTACATATAGATAGGGTCCAATTACACAATTTAATATTTGTTAATTTTACAAAAATTTAGTACTGTTAGATGAGTGAAAATAGAAAAGTGAGATAAACAATAAAAAAATAGAAGATATTCAATGAAAAAACAAAGAATTAATTTCATTCAACTATCTCTACTCATCCAATAATCTTGAATCTATGTATAACTAAAAATATTTTACATTGTATAAATGGATCCTTATATATACTTCAAACCCTAAATTTTGATTTCAAGATTAATCGGGCTGTTGAAGGATAACTAAATTATCACAAATTCAATAATCCAAAACCTCTAGCCTCATGCATTTTTTTCTTCTATTCTTTCTTTCTTTTTTTTTTTTTTTTTTTTGCAAAATCCCTTCAGTTTAATATTGAAATCACTAACAATACTAGTCAACAATTTAATTTTCAATCCTAGTCAACAATTTAATAAAACAATACAAATCATCATTAATTTCAGTTTAAGATTCATATCAGATGCGACAATCATGCATATTTAAGCGAGTTCAAATTTTATTTTATTAGAATTAAATAAATGTGTAAATGAACTAAACGAACACGAACCAAAATATGTTCATGTTTGTTCGTTCAATTTTTAACTGAACATGAACAATTAAATAAATATTTTTTTATTAAATTTCATATTCAAATTTGATCTCACCTATTAATATTTGTGAATAATAAATTTTATTAAATCTATAAATGCATTTAAGATTTTTATTATTGTTATTTATTTTATTAATTTTGTTCATGAAGTTTAAGGGAGAAATCATAATATCTATATGACAAAAGCCCATAATTGCATCATTTTCCTCTTTCCAAACCTTCTATGGTCAAGTTGATTCAGGTGAATTACTGTCACCAAGATCCACGTGTTTTTTATATTTGTTCTGTTAATGTTCAAGTGATGACTAGTATTATGGAAGGACTTAATTGAAACGATATTAGTACTTTGAGAAGTAAATTAGAACATTTAAAATTTGGGGACCAATTCAAAATATGATACATGATTTAGGGATGTCTAATGCAAATAACATAAAGTATTAATTTTACAATCTCTACTCATTCTCAATTTCTAACATTGATGTTGTTTAATGATATATATATTTTATCTTTATAATTAAGGGTTCCTGATTTAGGTTATTTTTTTGAGAAAATAACCCCAGTGACCAAAAATGCCTTATAATATACGATTTTAACCAACTTGTTTTGGATTTACCAAAATGACCAACTAAATCGCAATGCAATCGATAATTCGCAACGCGATCTCTGGTATCGCAAATCAGCTTCTAGATTCGCAACGCGATTCTGACTATCGCATTGTGATTTCCCAAATTCGCATTGCGATTTTCCTAAATCGCAACGCGATTACGTAAATCGCAACGCGAATACGTAAATCGCAACGCGAATACGTAAATCGCAACGAGATTCTGACTATCGCAATACTGAATTTAAAAATTCGCAACTCGATTTATGAATTCGCAACAGGTTTTAATTTCGTAACACAAATGTTTTGGATATATAACTACGCAGCAGCAGCAACTCATAACCTAAATCCCTAAATTGCAACTCATTCCATCTCCATCTATCACTCTCTTCGGCGACATCCGTTCCTATATCCAACGACATCCTTCCCCATCCGACAACAGGTTTTAGTTTCGCAGCTCGTTTGTTTAGTAAATTAATTTACAATAATGAAATCATCTAATGTTGATCATGTTTTGATAGATTTGTGTTTTGGAGGGTCATGGGAGAATGTTAATGGTGTTTTACAATATATGCCTTTACCCATGAATCTTCAACTAAAACTGTAATAAAAAAAGTTAACTTATGAAACTCTAATGTTACGTGTTGCAAATAAATTAAATTTAGAGCCCCTAAGTGGATTTAGGCTATCTTATCAGAGAAATGGTAAAGTTTATTTGTTAACCGACAATGAAGATGTTGAACAATTCATTGCTTACATTAGTGTTTCAAGTGATGATGTTACATTGTATGTTGTTAAACCTAGAAGTAGTGAAGTTGGGTCAGTAGCGGGTAGTAATCAACTAAGTTTTTCAACCCCAGTTTATGGTGCTCAAAATTTAATGGTTCCACCACAATTTCATCACCAAGAAAATATTGTTTCACCACATTTCCAATACCAAACACAATCTCAAAACCCAAAACCTTTCCCTAATCCAAATCTCAATCAACTTTCAGCACCAAATTTCGGTTTTCATATTGACCAATTAGACGATGATGATCCAACAGAAAAAATTGTGAGTACTAGTCCGTATTCGAAATTTGATCTTGGTCAATACCCGGACTTTTTTGCGTGTAATGATTTTGATATTGGTCAATACCCGAATTTTGATGATGAAACAACCGTTGCCGAGGAAGATGTTATTGATGATAATGAGGAGGAAGTTACGACTGTAAATGAACATGTTGAACATCCATTTTGTAATTCATATAACACTGAAGAAGAAAAAGAAGAAGAAGAAATCCCCAAAGAAAAGTCCCCGAAGAAAATGCCACGGGAGTATAACTGGAATATGCCAGAATTACTTCAGATACCGGAAGAAGAGTTGGTAAAGATAGTAGTTGATTGTTACACAAAAATTATTCGTATCAAGAAAGATGATTGTTTTGATACAAAGGAAGACTTGAAGATAGCTTTGTATACGAAATGTGTGGAAGATGGCTATCAACTAAAAGTTAACAAATCAAGTAAAGATTGTTTCGAAACAAGGTGTATGATTGACAAAAATTGTATGTGGCGTATGATTGCAGAGAGGATAAAAGATTGCGAAATGTTTCAAGTTAGGACTTTTATTGATAAACATACATGTTCAAGAACCCAAGTTTTTCCTCACCATAGACAGGCAAACAAAAAAGTGTTGGGTGGTTTTCTGGCTGAGTTAATGTTTTTGAATGGTAGGGTATATCGGGGACATGAAATTATGACTGACATGAATGCTCGGTTCAAGATTAGTATCTCATATTCTCAAGCTTGGAGAGCCAAATGTTATGACTTGGAATTGTTGAGGGGGTCGCCAGAAGCATCGTTTGCCCAACTGCCGGCTTATTGTCACAATTTAAAGCTAAAAAATCCTGGGTCGGTAACTCATATCAAAACAGATAGAGATGGACGCTTTGAGTTGTTGTTTATCACTATTGGTGCTGCGGTTAGTAAATCAATATAATTTTCTTGACTCATTTTTGTTAGTTACATGCATTTCACATTTAAATGATTATATTTCTTGTGTATATGATTTTGTAGATTCGTTCATTTATTAATTGCATGTGCCCAGTTATTATAGTTGACAGAGCACATTTAAAAGGTCGATACCTTAGAGTAAACTTATTAGCAGTAGCCATGGATGCTAATAATGGGATACTGCCAATAGCTTACAGGGTTGGTAAATATGAAACCTCTGATTCATGGACAT